TTCTGCCTATACTTCTACTAATCTATATATGCACGTACGATATATAATGCGTGATCAAAAAGGGATACACATTAATCTTCGATGTTAAAATTGTGATTATTATAAGTATGTATAAGAAATTATATTTTCATTATAGCCGTATGAGAAATCATTGTAGGGTGTAATGGATTAATAACACTTACAATAATAATAGGTAAAGGGAGTGAAGATAATTTCATCCGCAAAATATCCAATACATAACATTTTATACATAATGTACAAGACTGTTAACATTTAAAAAAAAAAAAAAAAAAGACATAAATGATAAATATAAGTATATAACCACCATTCACATCACATCACATGTAAAGTTTTTAGATAAGCAAATAATGCTAATTGAGCTTCCATGGTTTCTAATTGAGAGTTAGATGGTTAACTAATACGTAGTAATAAGCAAATTTTTTTTTAATATGAAAATGCAATATTATTGTATTTAGCGATGAAAAATTACCATGTATTTACCCATGAATGTGGATAAGTAAATGTTGTGAGTCTCTTCCAACTTAACCAAAGATCTTGAGTTAATCTTAGTGTGTGAGGTCTTAGTAATTTAGTATATATTGGCTGAGAAAATTCGTAATTTGACCAAAAAAGAAAAAAAATAAAAAGAAAAAGGAATAAGGGTCAAATAGGTCATTGAACTGCACACAATAATGCAATTTTACCACTGAACTTAAAAAACCAACAATTAAGTCCCTAAACTAATCAATTTCAAACAATTTTTTTCAATTTGAAAGTTTCTAACAGGTCATCCTCCCCAATTAATTATTTTTTAAAAAATAAATTTTAAAAATTAATTATTTTTAAATTTAAAAAAAAAAAAAAAAACTGGACTACGGCCGGAGACGGTCGTCCCCGGCCGGAGTCCCCTTTTTTTTTTTAATTTAAATAATTAATTGTTAAAATTTATTTTTAAAAAATAATTAATTTGGAAGACCTGTTGACCTGTTAGAAACCTTCAAATTGAAAAAATGTTTGAAATTGGTTAGTTTAGGGACCTAATCGTTGTTTTTTTAAGTTCAGTGGCCTAATTGAATTATGCTGTGCAGTTCAATGGCCTATTTGACCCTTATTCCAAAGAAAAATTACTCCTTATTTAACACACACACACACACACACACACACACACACACACACACACACACACACACACACACACACACACACACATATATATATATATATATATATATATATATATATATATATATATATATATATATATATATATATTCACAAGCTACAATAAATTGACTCTTCTAGTTTATGTGTGTCTGCATTACTATATAATACAAAAGAGTAAATCTTAGTGGAAAGAGTTTGTTATCTTTAGGAGAAAACCTCATGTTCAATTGATCAGATAATTAGATTGATAATTATAAAGTTCTAAGTTATCAAGTCCAACTCTATCAGCCGTTCATTATATTAGTAATAATTTGTTGTTTTTCTTTCTCTTTTTGGGAGCGTTATGCCATGGAACCGAGTTCACCATTCATGGTGAACACGGTTCCAACGGTGTTAGTACACCGTTATCTTTTTTTTTTTTTTCTTAATTAATTGCGTCACTTTTCTTCTTCATTTTCACATTTTGCGATTTCACTTTAATTTGAGGTGAACAATGATTTCGGACATTCATAAATTATGAATTCATGCCTGCACATTCACTTTGGAACCATGCCTACACATTCCCGTCCGAAATCACGGACATTCATAAATTATGAATCCATGCATGCACATTCACTTTGGAACCATGCCTACACATTCACTTTGGAACCATGAGATTATGAATTTTCTGTTATAAGATTATGAATTTTCTGTTATGAGATTATGAATTTTCTGTTATGAGATTATGAATTTTCTGTTATGCGATTATGAATTCTGTTATGCGATTATGAATTTTCTGTTATGCGATTATGAATTTTATGAAAATTCATAATCTCATAACAGAAAATTCATAATTTGATCAACGCGCGTCGTTAACTCCACATCCGTGATTTTTTTTTTTTTTGCCTAAAAACGACATCGTTTGGCCTTGTATTCACCATTCACGGTGAACACGTTTCCAGGGCATAATTTGCCCTCTTTTTGTGTGTGTGTGTGTGTGTTTTTTTTTTTTTTTTGCATTCAGGCATTCAGCGGAGCCCATCACTAATTTATGACCCATTGGTCAATTCTTTCTAGCCATAGCCTGCATCATATGAGTTGGCAAGTCTTGTTGGTCGACCCACAAGCTAGTTTTTTAAAAAATCAACGAAATTTAATTTGAATGATCATTAATAAAAATAAACACTTGAGCATATGACATCTAAATTAAAAACAAAAATATAGGTTTAAAAATCTAAAAACGTACAAAAGAAAAATCATATGTCATGGTCCCTGCATTAAAAAAAATAATAATAACAATTATAAGTTCGCGAGACAAAATGCAAAGATTATGAGACTCACCTCTTTACATGTAAAAAAATTTCAATGTTAATATATCTTGTGAAACAATTAAATGTTGGTTGGCAAATCTAGCCCTCGTTGACATTGTACAATCGTTATGGTGGGCAGGGACGGAGGTAAGTGTATGCTTAGGGGGGCCTTGGGCCCCCCTCCCCCACCCAAAATTTTTTTAATATTATATATGTATTAAATTTTTTTTTAAAAATATTATATAGAATTTTAAAATTTTGTTGTTTTTTCAAAATATTTGGCCCCCCTCCACTTAATTAATGTTACAGGTAAAGTTATAAATTTTTTCATCTTCTCAACTTTTTCAGTTCTCTCCTATTTCAAATTATGTATTCCATATATTGTTGACTCACATTCAAATTAAATTTCATTTAACCTACTTACTAGTTTCTCTGCCTAGAACCATGCATATATGCGGCATATACGTTATAATAAGATAATTTGTCATTAACAAAATCTATGCATATTTTTCAAGTTAATTTTTATTTTTTATTTTTATTTATAACTACTTGTTTGGTTAATTTTTGTTTCATATTCTATTGTTTATCTTAAATAATTGTTTTGTTTGATTCTAAATCATGGATATCAAGTGCATTTGTTTGGTTAATTATGTAAATTTGTGGTTGTGTGATAAATTTTGTATTTAATTTAAAATGCATAATAATGTAACAATTGTGTAGTATATGTATTTGAGAAAACAATTGCTATTATGTTATGTTGTGAAGAGGGGTTTTCAAGAAATAATCAATAGTCTTTTAAAACATGCGTGAATGTTTTCATTCTTTCAACCGTACAAAGTAATGTGCATTGAAAAGCATATTGCAAAATAATTTAATATAGATTCAATTATAAATAATTTATTCTAAACTTTATTGAATTTGTAATGTAATGATTATTTTGAGATATGTTAACGGGATATCAATGTATTTGATTTAGTACTTCAATCGTAGTTTGGCCCCCCGCACTGTTCCGTCCTGGCTCCGTCCCTGATGGTGGGCACGGTTCCAAACGACGCCGTTTTCATGTGGTTGAATAACGGTGCCGTTAGTAGCACCGTTATCCTCCATAATGTGAATATAGATCTATGCACTTGTGACTACAGAGTCTATATGGTAGATTTATAATTTCTATATTGTAGATTCATAAATTCTAAACTGTAGATTCATAATTTCTATATCGTAGATTCATAATCTAAATATAGTAGATTCATAATTTCTATACTGCAGGTTCATAATTTCTAAACTGTATAGTTATCAAATTATGAACATATAGTTCTGTGATTTGTGAATACAGAGTTCAACAATTGAGAATATAAACATCGAAAATTATGAACATATATTTATAAAATTATGAGCATATAGCTCTATCACATGTTCACAAACTTAATACTGTAGATTTATAATTTCTATACTGTAGATTCATAATTTAACTACAATATATTCATAATTTCTAAACTATAGACTCATAATTTAAATACAGTAGATTCATAATTTCTATACAGTAGATTCATAATTTCTATACTGCAGATTCATAATATATGTACTGTAGATTCATAATTTCTAAACTGTATAGTTATAAAATTATGAACATATCCTCCTGTAATTGTCAATATAGATGTTTAAGCTCACCAAAACACACATTCAAAACACACACATCAATAAATCTTAATGCCAACACCAAATTCATCGCAATAACAGACATAAATATAAATTCGAATTCAAATTTTAAGCTCATAAATCGCAAAAACCAGAAAAATCACATAGATCAAATGCAAAAATCGAAAAAATCGAATGCAAAAAACTTGGAATCGTAGACAATCCATCAACGTTTAAATCTCCCTGATCTTTTGCCTCCTTCATCGGCGAATTCAATATTCGAAATCAAAAGAACAATGCGATTGAGAATGCGAAGAAACTCACGAAGACAGAAGATTGAGAATGTAATTGCAAAGAGAGAAATGCCGTTAACGGCAAGTGAAAAACAAATTATTATTTTAATTAGAACGACATCATTTTCAACGAAAACAACGCCGTTGTGGAACTGTGCCACGGTTCCACAGCATAATTTGCCGACATTGTACTCCTATTATTACCATGGTTGCAGTAGGCGCTAATCGAGCGGTAGAATAACACCTAGGCGGCTAACTTTAAAAAAAAAAAAAGTGCACATGTATATGTATGTCATTATATATATAATGAAAAAAAAATTGTTAGACCGACTCGTCCAAGTAAACTCAGCTAACTTGATCGAATTGAACGAGTTAATTCGGACAAATTCGATCAAGTTAGGCGCCTAAGCAACCGGCCGTCTAGGGGGCAATTCACCTCGGCCAATTTTTGCAACAATGATTATTACTCACATGTGGGAGTAAATATGATTATCAAAATTACGAAGGGACTCCCTCTAATTATCGAAAATTTAGAAGGGTATTAGTGGAATTCACTCCTGAAAAGGTTAAATTATTATTGTTATTTTAAAAACCTTTTGGTGTTAAAGCCCAAATAGAATTATAGAAATCCACAATTTCATACCCACAAGCTTTCCCATTTCCATATATGATTACGACATAATTTCCACCTCCACCGTCCACACGTTCTATAGGCGATTCTCCAACCGTCCGATCCTTTGACCATCTCGCCGGAGTCAATCCTTAATCGCCGTCGTTGCTGTATCGGTACTTCCCTCATCGCTTTTTCTCTCTGATAACATCTCCGAAGTCCGATCATACAATTCCGTCGGCATTTAAGTTTTGTCCTTGAAACTATTTCTTCGTTTTATTTTTTTTCTTTAAGTTATTATTATTGTTTTTGTTGTTATTATCATCACTCGTGTTTTAGTTGATCATTGTTGTTCAGAGCATGGATAATTTCTGTCCGGAGAATAGATTACGTTGTTAGCTTCCTCATCACACCATCGCCTGTGCTATATAAATGTATTTATTAAAGCAGGTGCGCTGTGAATGAACAGGATGATCTTAGTGAACGTAAAAATCAAAATGGAATTGCCATAAGAAACTGCGAAAACTGAGAAATAATCCACTAGGCTATTTTCAGATGAGTTTGTGAAAAAATATTAATTAATGCTCACGTTGTTATTCTGGATATGGAAGATTTCAAATTCACATAAAACTTTGTGTTTCACCATATTGGCATGGTGGCATGTTGAAGTTGGAGATGTATGCAACCTTACATCATGTTTATGTTGCTTCTATGATTTGTTCTTTCTTTTCCTTGGAAACTATGGAGTGTGAATGCCCTTGCCCCTGGCCCTATTGAGTTTTATTGAGGAGGTTAAAAGGATACAAGAACTTAAAACATTAATAAAAACAGGTCAAACTGTCATGCAGTTAATAATGTTGTTGACTATGTATGGAGTTCATGTGTTCTATATATGTTATTCCATATCTAGCATTTTGAGTGTTTTTGTTATACCTGTTGCATATGTTGAATCGGTAGTCTGTAGAGACCTGAAAGGGCCAGCCATTATCAGTTTTCCAGTTAAATGCCCAGTCTGATTTTAAAAGCCTTGTCCATTACAATTTGCATGTCTAGTAAAACTTCCTTCACAAGTAGTTCAGATTGTATTGTTGCTCATCTCTTTGTTGCTGGTATAATGACTTTACCTGGACTAATTCTTCATGAAATCTAATACAGGGAAGAAGCATTTCAGTTGACACAGTAGGGTGGAAGGTTGGGTGGCTTTCTTGAACAGTTTGAAAGACATTGTTGCAAGGGAAAAGAAGTTGAGGTAGAGTAACTTTTCAGTCAAGAATCTAAGATTTAAGAATTCTGATGCAAATCTTAAGGGTTTCACAGTTGTTAAATCTTCAATATTGCTTTTAAATTGCTATTTTATTGTTCTGACCAAATGATATGTTCGGTTTTCTCTGGAAAGTATTGCAGGTTCTCAGGTGACCACTCAGTGGCCAAATTTATAACGTGTTGTATTGCACTATTGCCTGTCACTGACATTGACTTCAAATTCTAGTCATAATATGGAGTTCCTCAAATTTTAGTTTTGCTCTACTTTAGCAGGGGAAGCATGTCTAAACTTGTGCCTGGGAGGGAAGATGTTTGCTAAATATAAACATATAAATCTTTACAGAATAATACCATTTGCATTTGAGGAGTAACCTGAATATTCCTTTTGCAGCTTATAGGATCTAGATCCTTTATGATTAAAAAACTTAAGATGCTAGTGCTTGTTGGTTTCATGGGTTTACCCCTTAAAAGGAAGTACAATTACATGTGGAAACATATCTGCTCATGAATTACCTGAATTTTCCCACCCTTATTGAGCACTATCCTTAATGTTCACTGTATAGCTCTTGTTAAAGCCATTCTGCTTTATATGGTAGCTGAGACCAATTGCGATTCAGGTCTGTCAACATTTTCATCACATATATGAGTAATTTTTTAGACATATAAACATCAGTGGCTTCGAGTGCTGCTTATAATATCTATTGGTACAAAGTACAAACTGTTGATTAATTAGTGGCTTAGTGCTTAGAGGGCTTCCTCAGCTCTCTATCTCCTTCCTTTATTTTCCTCTCTTTCTTGTGCTTCCTTAATCGACTTTTCCTACTCTCTTCAGTGCATACCACCTTTTCTTTGGGGTGGGTTTTACCTTTTAAAGGCAAATTAAAATAGGCAATCTATGAGTTGGAAATTTCATAATGTTCTTTACTTTCTTATTCTGGCAGCAAGCCAGCAACCTATGAGAGCCTCAATGGGTAGCTAGCAGCCTATTCTCTTCCGGTTAATTTAAATTTATAAATGGTATTGCATTGCAGGCACCTTTTTTGTTACCCTGAGCAACAGAGCAAGGATTTTCATTTTGGACTAAATTCCAATCAAGATCCATTATGAACTACTACAGTTTTGTGATAAAAGTAACCTTTGTCCTGGTCCATGGGTGACTAGTTACAGGGAGGAAATTTAAGGAACCCTAGAGATATAGCTGTTCTGTTTACCGGATACCTGTAGGAAAATTTTGGAATTCATGAAGAGTATTGAAGACTATGTTCCATCAAAAGAGAATTCTATGATATCTTCAAGCAAACATTTCATTTTTATAATCAGGGATCTAGAAATATATCCTTTGTGGTGGTACTGTTGGCAAGTCTTTTGCATCTATTTAGGTGCACATTTAGAACAGAACACAGAGATAAGAATCAATGATTATGATCATTGTATTGCTAGATAGTTGGCCCCGCCAATGATTAATTATGCTACTCTCTCCCATTGTAGCACATTGGGCATCCTTTCAGGGAATCCCTGAGTTTAATGAATGCATAGGCAAGATGTGGGTCGTATATTTCTGGAGTTGCTTTGTCATCCTCTTTACTTTGGTAGTGGATTTCTAAGGATTTGAGGTGGAATGCCTTTTTGCTAAGTTCCAACAAGGCATCTCTCATTCTTCTTGATGCTTGAGCATGGAATGTGCCCTTTTTGGTGTATTATATCAAACTTAGCTGTCCCAAGTGATACTCCTCCGTTTCAGATTCATCCTGAATCCTGTGAATATCCTGGATGGTGTGAGCTCCTGACTGAAAGATGTTTGTAACTGATTGCCGCAATGATTAATTGCCTGAATGCTGGCTTAAAATATTGGAAGTCCTGAAAATAATGAGTGAAGTCTGGGTTTACTTTTTACTTGGCTATGCTATGAACAGCAGAAAATTGATAATCATATTGCTTTTCATTTATTGAGTTGGAGGGCTTGCAGTTAAAAGTTGCTTTTAGGCCCTGGGCTATGGGAAGAAGTGGCAAAGAGAATTTCAAGCAGGACCTAGATTATAGTTCTTAATATATTTGTGGCATACTCCAGTTTTGCTATCAGAAGCATCAGTTTGCCTCAGTGTTTTCACCATTGTTCCTAAGGACTTCAGATTGCGCCTGGAATTGTTTCCCCAGGACTGTACATAAAATGCTTATTCATTTTAGACAATTACTTCATGGAAGAATGACCATACTTTTACCGTTATGAGGGCCCCTTTTGCAAGATTTTTATTGGGATTTTGTGGCTCTGGTTATCCTTCTACCATTTGTTATGTACAATATAATACATTTGTATTGACACATCTTTGTTACCAAAAGAGGACTTGTTAACTATCTTGTGCTAAATCCATATTGTATTCATTAAGGTCTCTGATTTACTCTAAACTTCTAAATTCTAATGTAAAGATGTCCTTGCTTATTGTGTCACAGAATGCCTTGTACTTGTAAAACACTATTCTGTCCCTTCTATGGATCTATGTTGGTATAAGAATTATGGTACCTCTTTGGCTTACTATCTGGTCTGCTGAATCAGTTCTCATTGATCTCACTGTTTTTAGTCAGATGTGGTAACTCATGAGATAGTTATTCAAGAAACTTTCGTTCAATTAGTTTGTCTGCTTTAGGAAACTCCCTGTCAATAAAGTAACAATTTGTTCATGTTTAGATCAATTTTCACCATCATTTTTTGTTTGGAATTGGAGTTGAACAAGATTCCCACAATATAAATGCATATTGCAATTCATATTAATTTAAATTGTTCGGTGTGATTTTAGCTGTTTAATTACTTCATGTTAAATCTATAATTTTTAGATGTTATACATTGCACACAGACTTAATGAAAGAAAAGTTAAAAGTTAGCCTGCACTGGGAGATGGTGAATAGCAAGGCTTTAGATCAACATCAATCGCCTAACTTCCTTCCTGCAACTCTGTGTCTTGTGTTCTAAATATCCAGGATTCTAGCAAGATCTCTATATTTTGGAACTTATTTTTAATATACCATTGACAAATATTTACTATGTGATTGCCATGAATTTCTTTCATTTTGTTCCTGCAAGTTATAGAGAATGATTATGTACATTATCCTCAGACTTTGAGTTGGTCAGCAACACTTGTTGGAGATTTCTGGCTTATATTTTCTCCCCTTTTATAGTCTTCTTTCAGAATCTCGTTTACCCCTCCATGCAGTTTCAGCCAAATAAAAGTAATTAGATCAGCAGTTGACCTGGGGTAGTAGCACTGTGTTTTTCCCTTGAAAGAAGTTAATTTTTTTTTCTTTTTCTTCTTCTTTTTTGTGCTGTAGTGATCCAGCGGTAAGACACTGAATTTTTTTTTTCCCAGTATTTGAAGATTATATATGAGCTTAGGCAGTATTTTCAATTTTTTTGTGTCTTAAGTTAGTGTCAATGTGTCTTTTAGCCTCATTTTATGAATAACTACAAGATTGCTTCACCCGTCAGTATTTTCTTCTCATTCTCTTCTCTCTATTGAGTAGGACACATGAAGGTATCTTTTCAAGACTACGTGTAGCATTAACTTGTCCTACATCCCATATATTATTGGTTGTTCATTTAACATTTGGATCTGTTGCTGGTTTGAAACATTTACCAATTGCAAGGGAGTTTTGGAATTTCAAGTGGTGCAATGTTAATTGATGTGCAGATCTGCATAAAGTCTGTTGATGAATTTTAATGTTTGAATTATCTGCAGCTTGTCATTTCCTTGATTTTTGGTGTGTGAACCTTAGGTTAGAGAAGTGTAGGAACCTTTGCATTCTCTCAGTCAATATTTTCCTCTATATGGCTCTTGGTGACATGTAGTGGTGCTAGCCCAATAAGTGTCTGAGTGTCTACTTGTCCAACTAGCCTTTCTATTTATTATTTTGTTATTATTATTAAGTTCAATTCTATTTTCTGCAATCAGATTTATATTTTCTAATTTCTATTCACTCCTTTGTTTGATATATATCTTTCTCTTCACCTTCAGTTATTTTGATTGCACACTATTTAAACTAGAGGATTCTACCATACCAATGGCAAATTTCTTTTAATTTCTCTTCAGCATAAACCTTTTCAGTCACTTTTTTTTTTTTTTTAATGTTTTATGTGCTCTTGCCTCTTAGGCATGAATTCCCTTCGTCATCTTGGCATTGGTGAAACCTCTTCTAGCCTTTTATTTTCAAATTTTCTTTGTTATTGAATGAATAAACATGAGTATTGAGATTGTATGTTACAAAATTCACATGTATTAAATGTGTTTTTTTTTTTTTTTTTTTTTATTATCTGTAACTGCTGAAGGAAATCAGGCAATCTGACATTGTAGGCTTCATTTGGTACATTTTTTTATGTTACTTTGTGGAGTTTCAAATAAAACATGCTTTTTGCATTTCTGCTAGTTTAAGAATCCTGTGTTGTCTTTCAATTGCAACTTGATTAATTATCTACTGTTTGTTGGGGGTTGGTACTGTTTCTCATTATTGAGAGTCTGGCACCCTTACATGTTCATGGAAAGGATAATCCTTTTTTTATTCAACAGATTAAATTTTCCAATCTCATGCATGTGTAAATTGTATGATTTATCTGACCTGAAAGTTCTTTTGGTGTATTCTTCATTAATTTGTGGAGAATGCTCTTTCATTCCTCTTTTAAGAACTTTTGGTGGGACCCCATGGAGCCAAGGTTCTTTGGTTGCTAATTGGAGATAAGCTTCTGTAGAATATCCTGTGATTTTGTTAATTGGATATGTTATTGAATGTGGGTTGCACCACTCAGCTTACCTAGTTACCTGCTAGGTAGAGCTATCATCTAAGTCCTACTCATGATTTTGAATGCTTGCCTCCTGTTTGAATGGTCACAAGTCATGATGATCTTGAAGTCTAAATGGGTTGCTTGTTTCTATAGTATATCACAAATTTATCTTCAATGCCAGAAAGTCTCTATGAAAGCCAACTATAACCAGAAAGCTATAGTCTTTATGTATGTAGAGCAGGTTAAGTTAATCAGTTTGGAAATTTGACTCTGATTGCAGGGGGGGTGGTCCGGGAGGATGTAGATTTCCTTTCATCCTAGCTGTAAGAAAATCATCTGCTGATTCACTTTCAGTCATCTGTATTAGTTTCATTCTGCTTAATTTTTGTACCACTGCTCTTTCTAATAGAGGTAATAGTTGCTGAACTGTTGTTTCTTGCCTGTAGTTGAAAATTTATCTCCTAGTGATCCAAGCAGATTGTTGGATTTGAATGGCAGTTTGATCTCCAAGATGCTTAGCCATCAGTTTAGACATTTACTGAAGATCCTTAGAAATACACACCACTGGTTCATTTATTTTGATAGGTTTGTCAAATTACTAAAATATGTGCTGATTAGCATGGCTAAAGACTTGGATGAATAGCATATGGAAAGTGAAATGGGAAAATCTAAAAATCTAAAAAAGTCGGTAAATCTCAAGTATCCTTTGAATCATGATAATGATCTCCAGATAATGGAAACATTAACCATTTTCTTAGACACTATATTCTGTGTCCATCACAACATTTTGAGTATGTTTGGTTTTTTTTTTTTTTTTTTTTTCCTGCACAAGTATTTCACAAGGAGATGGCTGGTATTTTTGTATAAATGTTGAAGCACGAGTTTTTACATGTATTATTATTTTTATTTATCTATACTTTCATCTTCTGATGTACGCTTGCTGATGCAAACTAAATTGGATTATGTTAGCCTCGTGTGCCTACAATCATTCTTAATTGTTCTTCCTTTCTTTTCATGCCAGGTTTGTTAACTTGCTTCTTGTAGGAAGCAATGGAGCATAGACAACCTACAAATTCATTCAGTTCATTTGGAAATGGCCAGAGTCATAATCAAAATTATATTTCAGAGCAACCTTTTACTGCCACAGGTACTGATATCTTGATTATGTGTTAATGTGTTATTCAGTGAATACATAGAAGTGGCTGAAGAAAAGAACATGATGTTTTGCAGGTTCTATTTATGCTTCTGTAGACAGTATGATTATACTCCTATCTATTACATTTGACATTGCTTATGGATCTTAAAGAATTTGTTGCCATGTTATTTTTGAAGTAAATTCATTGCAACTTGAATTATTAAAGGAATTAAATTGTTAACTACTAATCTGCAAAAAAGAAAGGCTTTAACTGACAAGTAGTATCACATAGATGGAGATAGAGTGTAACTAATAACTCTCAATTTTTAAAGATTCCTGCTGGGGGATTGGTTGTTTTCAGAAAAAGAAACTTAACCAGGAGAACCTTTGTTACCACCTTGACACACTTCCCAAGATCTCATTTCAGGAAGAATTGCTGCTTTAGGTGGCTCTTTTGTCCATCCTGGACCTGGAGATGTCCTGGCAAGCAGTGAAGACCAACACTGGAATTCCAGAGGCAGAGTACATCAATATCATTATTCAAGTTCTAGCATGGAAGCAGCTCATTTTCCCCCACAGATTTCAGGCCCTCCCTATGTGCCTTTTCCACAATCATCGGTTGCTGGCAACTTATGTATCCCTGGGAGTAGTAATGGCTTGCACTCTAGGCACTATGACAGATTAACTGATGAATTTGACGGTAATCTTGCTGATCATCCACAATGCATCCAAAGTGGACGGTTCAAAAGGAAAAGATCCTGCATTTCTGGACACTGTGAGAGAGGCAGCAGTAGCAGATTTTATGATGTTGGAAGCTCCTCCAGATCTCCTGGGATGTTGAGACCAATTCCAGAAAATGAGAACATCCCTTCAAATCACACAGTCTTTCCCCATAGAAGTAGTAGCATCTCTATTAATGCTGATGAATCATGGAGGAATGTAAGAAGTCGGTATAGGTGTGACTCGGGACACGATGCAGATAGAAGCCATATGCCGAATTACACTTCTATTCAGTATCAATCTACAACCCATCCAACAAATTACTCAGGCATCGGCAATACCAGAAGTCTTACAGTTGGTTCGAGCACTGGAGATTTGAATTCAGTCACATATGGAAGGAATTCTCATCCAGGTTGGTTAGATGTCTTTCAGCTAGCACTCTCTCTCTCTCACACACAATGTCCCCCAATCCCCCCCAAAAAAATTGAAATAATTGTACTCAGAACTTATTCACAACCACAGATTCTGGTGACTCAACTCATGAGACAAATCCATCATATTTTGGAGGAGGTGCTGCTGACGTTAGTGCACACTATGGTGGTGGCTTTTCAAGTGGAAATTTTAATTCATCTTCACATTATGTTCTTCCGGGGTTTGCTCAGGATGCAAGGGGAAGCCACACTAATTACTCTGGAAGAATATTACCCCCGAATGGTAATAATTTGAGCCACCCACAGCTAGGCTATGCTGCAGCTTCCACTGAAAATGGCATGCATTCTTCTGCTGAAATGTTTTCCTTCAGACACACGAGGGCACTTGCTGTTGAAGGGCGGCACAATCGCTCTCAGCATGGAAGATTTGGTGTTACTGATGAGAGATTCCGTTCACTTTCTAGTCTGGCGGATGCTCATGATAGAATGAGATCTGAGGTGTGTAATTGTGCTAAATTTAGTATAATTTCAGTTATTTATCATACTCTGAACGTATTTTACACATGTCCATACATTAAAATCTATGCCATTTTATTGCTTCTTTTCATATTTAACTGGGGTAAAAGTATAGGACTCATTGACCTTACAATTGTCTTTTTGGTGGCTTTTCTTGACGAAGTGCTGTTTGAGCAAAAGTTTGGATCATTGTACGAAGAAGCTGTTACTAAATCTTTTGTTGACCAGATTTTTTCTTGATGCAGCCATACATGTTTGAACAACAATCCTTTTCTGATGGTCCCCGAAGTTTGTTTGATGAGTATGTAGGCATGAGGCTAGATGTCGACAGCATGAGTTATGAGGTGATTAGCAAAACTGTAATGCATTTGATATATATGCAGGTTTTCCTCATTTACATCATTCTTATATTTTCTTATTACTCCCTGTCCAGGAACTGCTTGCCCTAGGAGAAAGAATAGGGAGTGTGAATACAGGCTTATCTGAAGATATGATTTCCAAGTGCATCAAAGCAAAAGCCTTTGGTTCATCTAACGGCGAGGACGAAAGATGTGTCATTTGCCTTGTAAGACTCTGCAAACTTGCTAACTTCTAGTATACCCCTCTGTATGCATGAACACGAGGGTTTTTTAGACCTTTACAATCATCTTTATTGCATTTCACTGTTCATTCCAACATATATACCATTATACCAAGCACAGGAGTAAGAGAATAAAGAATTCATTCCAGTTGGTATCTAGTCCAGTCCATTCCATTCTTGAAATCTTGCATACCAAACACTGCATATGTGTTGCATTATAGGCTTTGGATGGATGGAATTTGTGGTTTAGCCTAGTGAGAGGGCAAAAATATATGGTTTTTATGAGTTTACTTGAACTCTCCACTTTTCCTTTCTCCATTTTCGAATTGGAGAAATGTAAAAATAAACGCATTTTCTTTGTTCTTTTCACCAGTTTTTTTTTTTTTTTTTTTTTCTCGTTAGTAAATCCTTTGCTTTATTGTTGTGGAATGCAGGAGGTTTACGAGAACAAGGATGAAATTGGGAGTCTGATGAAGTGTGGACATGATTACCATGTGAGTTGCATCAGCAAGTGGTTGTCAATGAAAAATGCGTGCCCAATTTGTAAATCTGCTGCTCTTATGGATGACAACAATTAGTGTTGTTCTTTGAGGATTTGATTTATTCTCATCTATCATGTAAATATTACAGTCCTAATTTTAATTTTTATGTAAATGGATATTTTTATTGTGCACAATGCACATTACAATCTAAAATCCGGGATCATGCATTCTAAATATGATGCATCTTTGATGATTTACATACATGGTGTATGGTTGTGGCTGCTTTCGTATCGTACGTACTATCATATTTGATTCGGATTGCTTGTTTGTTGTTCTATTTTTGCTATCCCATTATCATATTTAAGTTTTTTTTTATTTATTTTTTATCATAAGAAAGAATCACCTGTTGAGGAAAAATGAATTGTACATTATCCTAATATAAAGCATAATGTACAATTTATCCTCTTTTAATATATATAGTAGGATAGTAGGATACCAGGATTTCAATTCCCATTCTTGTTTATTACTCCCTTTGTTGCATTTTAATTTTAATAGTATAGTTCCATTAATAAGGAGTCGAGTTATTTAAAATCAAATTATTATTAATATACAGAACTTATACATTTAAAAACTATATCAAAAGTTCCGTAAACCCAATGTCAAAATTAATTCCTAAAAAAAAAAAAAACATTTTCCTTTTGAGCATGAAAGCAACTTTATTTACACTTTAAAAATATGTCCAGCAGCCAAATCTCAAATAAAACAACAGAACATTGTTGTGAGATCAGACCCTTCCTGGAATCTTCCTTCAACAAGTTGAAGCCAAATGAATCTTGGCATTTGAAGAAAGAAAAAGAGAGGGAAACCACTTAGCTTGGCATGGGCTTGTTCTCCAGATATGATCTCAAAAGAATATACGCTTCTCGAGGGCGATGTAGCGGCACCTCGTGCCCAGCGCCAGTTACAGTCACAAGAGTCAGCCCTTCATACACTTGACTCCATCCCCCAACCTGTTTCATAGAAGAAAGAAGAAATTACATTTTGTCCAAGACCATTGGGATTGAGTTTAGTCTTAGTTGCTCGCTACAATGAGATAAAGCTAGCACTATCTAGTCTCGGCCACCACACGATTTTTATTGCACAGGGATACGTTTTCTTTTGTTGTATCAGATCAGAAGAGGCGAGGGTTGCCAATCTTTCTAGTTTCTACAAAAGGTTTGGGTGTAGAAGGTAGTAAACCAGCTGCATGATCCAAACATGAAACATGCCCGTGAAAATTGCTCGTCTTTGTTTTGACTAACCTTTGTGTTGATATACCAAGGATACCAGTTGGTGACAGTTGAAAGGTTCAAAGCATCAATGGAGTACCGAGTAGCAGTTACAGGAACCACTGAATCAGTATCCCCGCTGCAATAAATATATAATCATATCAAATTCTGGAAGCAACTAAATGATTGAAATGAATGAAGACCGGCATAGTCTTTCTGTCTGTCCGAAAATGAAAAACTAGATTAATGACACAGATGCATAACCACTCATTTTAGTGCGCTTAGAGAACCAATTTAGAGTCCAAAGACAACCTCTTGTAATCCATGACTAATAGATGAATGTTGTGGCAAATGATAATTATTTGCAGGTATACATACACTGATACACACAGCATATACCAAAGTGGAAACTAATTAAGTGAACTGTTTTTTTGGGTGATGAGGGAAACCCACAGCCACTAACGGAGGGTGTAGACTAGGTAAACCCCGACTTGTGGCCCCAGCTAGCAAAGTACCAGTAAACCGGCTGGTGGCCCCATAGTTGATCGGTTCAAACCAAGAAGGCCAATAGGTCGCTCCCACTAGGACTCAAACTTGGAACCTTGTGGTTACCGAGTCAACAGCCCGACCAACTTCACTGGAGTTGCACCCTACGTTAACTTACTTAAGTTCGTAGGAGAAATGCTTATTGCCACATAGATAGTGACTGATAATTTATCTTTCTAGATGCATGAAGATGCTAAGTTTGAATAAAGATACTCTGGCCTGGATTACTTGATATGATTTACTTTCCTCCAGTATTCATTCATTTGCATTAGTTCTCAAGTTATAAAACAGTTTAAACAGTTGATGGATGATACTTATCAGCTGCATTTCTCAATTTATATTCCATGTGACTTGCAGGCAGTCGATTCATATCAGAAACGGTCAACAATAAACAGACAGGCATATTAAATCAAAAGGTGAAGGCAAATTTGTTTTGCTAAATTTCATATACCTAGTAACCGAGAAATATTCTATCAATGGTTTTCATCTCCCACAACGGGTCAAAATTTGAAGTAGGTGCTAGGTAATGACTTCATGAATGAAGAAGGGCAAGAGGAAGCAAAATCAGGTGAGGATGTACCTGAATACCCATATCCTGAGACCAGCTGCTATGAGTTCTCGATAAATAGGAAGCATTGATAGAGGAGAATCTGCCCAGTAGATACCAACAATATCACTGCAAAGTAATGAAGCTCCAGTTAACAAAGTCCCAACACTTTCGAAATAGAATAGCAAGTTTTCATATTGTTCTCTATTCACCTGCATGTTTGCCATTTATAGGGAACTTGAGTTACATTGGCATGAAATGCCTTTTGAACTTCCGGTAGATTAAAATAAACTTGAGCATAATTCTCTGTGCATGGATCATATGCTCTGGACATCAATGGCTGCCATTAAAAGGAAAATATAGATTCAGTTGAAAAATAGTATAACTAAAGAAATAATCCTAGCCAACCCAAAGGGGTAGCTCAAGTGGCAAAGGAGCTTCTTTGTGGGGATGATCCTAGGGATAACCCAGGTTCAATTCTCACAAGTGACGATTCTCCTTGGGCCAGCTCCTATGCCTCCCAGAGCGAACAGGGATTAGTCGGGTGGACCCAGACCGTAAGACAGGTGGAGATAGACCCGGAACACCTCGTGGTTTACACCCAAAAAAAAAAAAAAAAAAAAAAAAAAAATCCTAGCAAGAATCAGCATTGATGATATTGAAGAATGAATAAAGCAATGAGAAACTTTTAGTATCTATGTAACATCGGAAGTGCTATTTTAGTTATGGGTGAAAGTTTAATCCCCACAAAGAAAAAGAAAAAGAAAAAGGTAGTGCTATTGTAGGATAAGCATAAGGAAGTGCTCACATGATGGCCCCTTAAGTTGCGACGAAGTGATGAAGTATAAGGGCAGGGGCGAGTATATATGCTATAAGGGTCAATCACTCCCTGCTCTTGATCTGCAATGTCAAGAGCTCTAATGCAATCACTTGAAGGGTGTGTAGCTGATCCCAAGTCACAGGCTATACCAAGAAACTTGTACGTAGAATCTGAAATCAAGCCATGTGTCCACCAATACTCAAATGTGCCAATATAGTCATGATAATCATCCGTAACAGCATTCCCAACCTGAAAGAAGCAGAAGCATCAATAATTGATAAAAAAGAAGAGATTTGTCAACACTACATTGGAAGCGAGGTATGCAAGTCCCATTGGTAGTACCAAGAAGCCCTTAAAATTAATAACGGGATTCTTGATTCCCTTGTTTCTGCGGTAGATAATTTGAGATAGCTGTGGAACATAGTGCCCTGAAATGACAAACGCAGTAGCTAGGCCAGCTCAGTATCTTGTTACAGAGTACAGGGTAATATCTACAAAAGCTTTTCCAACAAAGAAAAGCCCAAGACAAGGTTATACACTTATACAAAGTGTATAAATGACAAACCTGCATAACTTTCTCCAGAAATGTAAAAATCTCTATGCTTGTACTGAGGAAATCTTTCAAACCAGTTGACAAGAAATATGTATGCATCTTCAGCTACATAATAGAAGGGCATAGCTAAGCAAATCAGAGCTTAAACATGGCAACTATGACATTTTGGATTACGCACTACAGCACAAGATAGAACATGGCTACAAAACAAAACCAAAACAAAAAAACTAGAGAATTACCCGTTCTCTGATCGCCTGCAGTATACAAATCTGAGGTTGTATTCGAGTATGAGAAACCAACACCAGCTGGTGATTCAAGAAAAAGCAGGTTTGCCACTGCCACAAAAGAGATTAATTAAGTTTGCATTATAGAGGAACCCCAATAAAGCTTCCACAAATGAATATTAATATACTATTGATGACTTGAAGAACAGTCACATACACTTGTTCCACGAATAAGGATTGAGGTAAAGAGTCTTCCCATCAGCATTAATGTGAAACGGCCCAATCTCCTCAGCAGCTCCATAAGCTATAGAAGAACATCCAGGCCCTCCATTGAGCCACAAAAGGAGTGGCCTTTCATCAGGATTCTGGCTTTCCGGAGACTCAATCAACCAGTAAAACAGTGCCCTCCCAGCTTGTTCATTCACTGTCACATAGCCGGAGTACTGCGAGAAATCAACATTGTTTGGCTGTCCCGGCAAAGATGATATCCTATCTCTCTCTTGATCTCTATCACTCAAACAGTAACAACCACCCAGCAAAAGAAACACCCAGCAAAGTGCAGGTAACCAATTGTGCAAAGGGCAGTTCATTGAGTCAATATATCAAACACAACCCAGACAAAAGAATCACGAACACTAATCCCAATATATTTTGGGGTTTGATGAGAGGTAAGGCTAGACTGCTAGAGGCTAGAGCATCACATTATATCTGTAATTATACACATAAAATATTACAGTATGTTAAGAACCAAAGAATGAAAAAGCTAATCAAATGTTAAGAACCAAAGAATGAAAAAGCTAATCAATTTTTGGGAAGTCCAAGAAAAAAAATCCAAAAATATTTCTTGGATTCCTGGAACAGCTAGCTCCACTACATCACAACACCAAAAATAATAAAAGCTTATGAGAACGTTGAATTCAAAGCACAAGAAGATAAAGTCGCCCAGGTACTATCACCCAAACTGGGTAATACCCAGATAACAAGGACGATGGATCTCCAAAAAATCTGCTTTTTTTTTATGAAATTTAATTTAAAGAATAAAAATTTCTTCCTGTAAAATTCTCTTGCTTCAGTGATTCTGTGTCCACATTTTTAGCTCTCTCAAAATTAATCATCTAAAAACTAGCTGAACTATCTGTACGAAAAAATATATAAATATTTCTTCTCTTCTTCCAAACGTTGAATATCTAACTTTAGGGATCCCTCACTTTGTGAAAGAAAGAAAGATTTTTTTTTCCTCACCCAAAAGATTGAATATCTAACTCCAAGGATCTCTCATTTTAGACATAATTTTTTA